GTATCGCACCATTATCCTTGGCTTAGGAATGCTAACAATGGTAAGAATAAAATTATTTTTAAAGAATATTATAGAATACACTAGAAATAGGTACAGACGAGTAACAGAAAGGAACTGTATTCAGTGGGAGTCCTATGACGCAAAAGAAAAACATCGTGAAAAAGTAATATATTTGTATATCTTATACATATTATTTGTCTATTGTTGTTGCATTCACTCAATTTATATGAAAAGAATTTATTAAAATTTCAATTGAAAATGAATATTATATAAGATTTAACCTTTCTTTCGAAAATACACATCAAGAGTCGAGACGGACTACGTGACTCCCTCACCCCACTCCCAACTCCTCGCGCGTGATCGTGCCCGATCCTGTTCGTCATTCTTCGTCTGGAAAGTGGTGTGAGAAGTGCGTTGACAGCTTCGCGTCTAATTAGGTACGTATTTTTTATTTTTGACCATTTCTATTCTCTTCGTCATTCTCCATCGATATAATTATACAATATTAATAAGTGCATATTAACAAATTTGTGTTTTATTTCTCTAAGAGCCCGTAATTACAATTCAAACACGGGACGCTCAACTACGGTCAAACGTATTTTTCATTTTTAACCGGTTCTCTTCTTTTCGTCATTATCCATCGATGCACTTATCCAATATTAATAAGTGTCTGTTAACAAATTTGTGTTTTATTTCTGTGGCAGCTCGTAATTACAATTCAACCACATGAGACTCTCAACTGCGGCCAAACTACGGTCACGCTATACGCGACGCCATAATGCTTTGAGAGTTTGTGAACACGTTTCGACAGGAAACCTGTATCTATACGAAAAAGAGTATTTGGCGATGCTCACGTGCGAAAAATGTAAGTATCCTTTGTATTTTGTTCCGAGTACACTTAAAAAAAATTGTTTGATTTAAATTTGCCATCAAGTTTTCAAATACGGTAGAAACCTTTCGTAAAAACATTTACTCTTTCCTTCTAAAGGATCCTGACATCTCATCATCGTACTTGTGGATCCAGAGAAACTCGACGATGATCTCGCTACTGACCTTGATGCTGACTTCGTTACTAACGTCGCTGATAACTTCGCTGATGACTCCTACTAGGGGACATCGTCGCCCGGGTGCTTGAATTCTACAGTTGGTGAGTCGCATGCTATTTTGTTTCCTCTGGTCCCCAACCATGTTGTAGGATGAAATATCCGAATCAACACGGGTTACCAGTTGTATTCTTAGTATTTTTGGCGAATATAGTGATCGCGGGTATTTTTTGTACCCAAGCGTAGGAACATATACATATATGCCTACATAGGTCGGAAAGTAAAAAATGTCTGGGCACTCGAGATTATGCGAGTTCGAATTTCAGCTGTGTTGAAAGCAAGAAGGATAGACTCACATTTTCCGCCTTTCTCGTCTGTGCTACCATAATGCTTATTATGGTAAGAAATGAAACTACAAGAATTCCTTCCTTTTTGTCGGCATGAATGCTATATGGACCAGAGTTGGGCAACAATCGATTAATTTCATTGCAATAATCAATCGATTAACTAATCAATTATTGATTCAGAATTAAATTAAACTATAACGCTATCCACTATAAGAATCAAAACTAATTGTGGCGAGTTACGATTTTTTAACTAGTATCACAGTAGTATACCTCGTCTTCTCTGACAATACACTAGAATCTTTGATGAATCAATGAGAATCAAAACTAACCTAGCGAAGAAGCTCTATATTTATGATGACCTATGCAAGGCGGATCGCAGCCAATTTGCTAATATTATTTAATTTTTAATTAATAATTGCATTACCCAGCTAAGAGCGATACGATTATTAATTAAACGGTAAATAATATTACCCAGGTCCCACCACGTGGAGGTTGCTGCGAATGGAGACCCGCCCTAACCGATTCCCAACCACCCTCCATTATTAAAGATCTTTTATGATCAGCGATCGTTGATCGAAGAAGCAATAAACGAAAGTGCAACCAACGAAGGAAACAACCAACGAAAGAGTTTTTCGAGAAAGAATTTATCTCTAAATTCTCATCAACAAAACAGAGAAATAGACCAAAATATTGCCTGCCTGATATAATGATTAATAAAGGGAACCAAATTCCTGCCTAACTATAAATCTAAATTCGTTTACATCCTACCTATCTAATCATCTAACAAAATACATAGAATATATATTCTTCCTTGTTGATCCTTAGACGAAGAAGAGAAGAAACATACTGTTACATTCTAGCTAGCTATAAATCTAACTTATTAAAACATAAACTAAGCAATCTGAAACAAAATACATGAAATACATTCTTCTTTCTTCTTTCTTCTATTTATCCCACGATGATTTCCTGAAACACAAATGAAGCAATATCAATGAAAATTGTAATATTTCTTAATTATTACCTCTATAAACCTAACACTTCCGTAGGAATTTGCTCTGTAACAGAAACTTGTCTAATAGATTAGTAAGAGAACAAACAAAACAAAACAAGTAAAACTACAATACTACAACTACAGGCAAGTGCAGTGAGAAAGTAAAAATAGTACATAATATACGAGGTTACTTTGACTCTAAAATATATTCGTCGCGAAATATCTTCTTGCACGTCAATCTAATGATATATTTTAATAAGTAAAGAAAGACTTTGGATATGTTCGATATCGAAGATACCCAAAGTCGTCGACTAAATTATGAAAGTGAATTTAATTATTGAAGAATGTAAAGAACAATCGGAAGCTACTAATTTGACACTCATTCTAAAATTAATATAATTATAAGTATTATAAAAGATATTAAAATCATGACTCTACTTTCGATCGATATTACGATATTTGTCATATTGAAAATTGCGGCGTGTAAAAACATCGCACGCTTAAATAAAACGCGACGCGACACGTGCTCATAGCGTGCAGTGAGTGTGGGTATCAGATTGATCCCCCCCGGCCTTGATTATCAGAAAAGCAAGTCGCGCCCCTGACCCACGTCGATCGGACCTCTCTACGTACAACCGCCGGGCCCTGGAGGACACACGGTCACAACAGGACCCGCTTAGTACTCGAGAACGGATATGGGTCAAGGACTCTCACCGGAGGTCATTCTCTTTTCCGTATAAAGAGGAGAATATATGCGCTCGGCGAGGCCCCACTTAAGCTGAACCAAGCTGCACCGGGGTTGAAGCGGTAAGAGCTATCACACCTACTACACAGGCGTCACATGTTTCATTCTATCAAACAGAGGTGATCGAGCAAAAAACTCTCCGGTCCTTTCGGTCGAGACATAATCTCGGAAAGCGAGAACCAGAGAACGAGCGGACGAGAGAAAGTGAACTACTCATATATGTATATGTACTCATTATATATTCATTTTAAAATTAGTGTCAAATTAAAAATGAATCTACTATGACATTTGTCGTCTTAAAAATCGCGGTGTGCAAGAAGATTATAATTTTAAGCAAAAGGTACTAACTACACTTGCCAAAGAAAGCACGTATACAACCAGTCGTTTTACCCCTTTGCCTTACGATTTAATTTCCAACTGTGCCAAAAGCGTCAGCAAGGTTTGGCCCGGTAGACTTATCACTTCTCTGAGACGTCTTGTTCATGTTTGGCCCGGTAGACTCATCACGTCTCTGAAACATCATTAAGCTAAGGGGTTAAAAAGGAGGTTTTCAAACACTTAAAAATGACCTATCAACCTATCACCTAGATTCAAAATAAAAATTCATGATATTGTATAGAAACAAATACATCCTGCAATATTATACATATCGAAGCAATCACATAAATTCGAAGAACAATGTAAAAGTGGAAACCGAGAAAAGGAACATTCATAGTAACCAAATAAAATCAGATAGATAAATGACGTTGAATTCACATCAAACAAACAAATAGAAATAATAAAATATAAATAAGTGGAGTGGACTTACTACTTGTTGTCAGTACATAGGGTAGTTACCACTGGATCAGCTGTAAAATAAGAAAATATTCATATTATATCAACGTCAGTTAGACAAGCAAGGCAAAATCAGTACATTGAAGCGAAATTGGCATCAAACGATAGAATAGGAGAGGGGAGAGAATTTTTAAACAGTTCTTACCGTTGGTCATCACCGTCCGGCACTGGTCAGTAGTGGTCAGTAGTGGTCAGTAGTGGTAGGAGCACTAGTCAGAACTGGTCAGTAGTGGTCAGTAGTGGTCAGTACTGGTCAGCCATGGTCAGCGCAGGCCAGTAGTGGTCAGCAGCGGCCATCAGAGGTCAGCAGCGGTCCCCGGTTCCCTTCTGGCCATTTGTACACTCCCGAATACGCGACGAGACTGAAGAATTCTTCGCAGTGACCCTGCTTATATGTCTAAGGTGATGAAAGGGAGGGGAGACCAGTCAGAGCGAACGTTAAAGTTAACAGTTAAGACTGTCCTGTCTACAAAGATACTATTTCGATTGGTCTCACTTCTTGACCATTTCTGGATCTTCACTGGACCGCTGACCTTGATGTCAACCTCACTGTTGACCACCAGTGACCATAAGCTAGTCATTGTCGATCATCGACCCAGTAAAACCATTACAAAGATTACAGCTTTCTTACTACGATCCCCTTAAATTTGATACATGATCTTTTTAACATTTTGTTCCACTTTAGAAAAGTGTATCAAAGAGAGCCACGATGCTCTGGAAATAATTTAAAACTGCGTAAGAAACTAATGGACTGATGCAAGAATTTTAACTTAAACTAATGTACTTCGACTTTAATTACAGGTTCTTCGTAACAATTATTCAAAATAGAAGTTCTTTGCGATGCTTAGTTTCGACCAGAACGATTCGTAATCGCGGCAGGATTATCCAATAAGAGCGAGCAACGAAGTAAAGGGATAATCTAGTGACTTTCTTCTCTTGCTGCAAGAATCATTGTCACGCGAGGAGTAGGTAGCAGAATTGGTAGGCCTGATCACTTCAAGCGTGTGAAGTTCGTAACGCGTTGTCTGTCACATCTCGTATCCATGTGACTTTTAAAAATGTCAGATAACCGTTACAGTTTATTTATGTACGATATGAAAGATCGATGAATAAAACCTCGCGTTTTACAAACCGCGAAGTAGTTTTATAAATTCGAGGCTTCGGTATTTTACGTTTCGCTGCATCGGTTCGCGACTCGGTCACAATTAGGTTACGTTTTTAAATGGAAGAGCTGGCGTTCCGGTCGCCAGAATCATGTCTAGGGGGTAATGATCGATTCAGCGAGACAGACGACGAGAATTTTGGAATTTACAATGATACAGAAAACGAACGGGAGATTCGCTCTGGAGAGTGTACACCTCAACAAACATCGTCGAACAGACAGATCGACAATTCCATATTTAATACCATTTCTAAAATTGTCAATCCTACGGCAAAGGTAAAAGAAAATTACATATTCTTAAGATATCGATTAATGTAGATTTAGAATTCACAGTACCATTTAGTTAATGTTATATTTAATATTCAGGTGCCAGAAATACAAGATTTCAAAATTGTGAAACCAATAAGTCGTGGAGCATTTGGTAAAGTGTTCCTTGGGTTTAAGAAATCAAATCCTGATAAAGTGTACGCCATAAAAGTAATGAAGAAAAATGAAATGATCAATAAGAACATGGCTTCGCAAGTGATAATCGAGCGTAATGCATTGGCTTTAACAAGAAGCCCCTATTGCGTACAATTATTTTATTCGCTGCAGTCCATTACTAGCGTTTACTTAGTAATGGAGTACATGGTGGGTGGGGATCTTAAGAGCCTGCTCGGCGTGTACGGGTACATGGAAGAGCCTATGGCAGCTTTTTATACCGCAGAGATATGTCTCGCGTTGGAGTACCTTCATTCCCATGGAATTGTACATAGAGATTTGAAGCCGGACAATATGCTGTTGTCCCGCGAGGGACACGTCAAGCTCACAGATTTCGGGCTTAGTAAAATATCCTTGCACAGGGACCTCGAAATATCCGATTTAATAAATTGCACGCCTAGTCTTTTAACCAGAACACCTGGACAACTTCTTTCGTTAACGTCCCATTTATCATTCGGCTCCGGACATAGATCCGGCAGCGAATCGGATGTCAGTAGCACGCCTGGCATCAACCTGCTCGCCGCGTTGCAAAAGTACAGCTCGAAAACGTCGCCTAACTCGGTAATTTCCTCGACCGCGTCGGGAGATTATTCGCGAGTGTCTGGTATTACTCCATTTCAATCCGCGGAGGATCTTCGTTTCGGGGAACGTATAGTGGACAATGCCATCGGAACTATCGACGAGGGACAAGAGAGTAGTTCCGGTAGTTACCACACGTGCGAGGCATCGTCGAATCGCGTGAACAGTCAACTGGTCCAGGACCTAGAGGACGAGGACGAGTCCACGTTGGAAGCTGAACAGTCTCAACCGACGTGTTTTCATACCAGTCCACTGACCACGTGCGCCACCTCGTTCGTAAGAGGCGCGAAAAGAAAGAGACAACCGGTAACGGGGACGACTGGTTTGACGTGCGAGATAAACGTAATGGAGCTGGAGGCGGACAAGACACCGAAGAGGAAGAATCGCGGCTGCATATTCTCCAGGAGCCCGATGAATTCCGATATCTCCGAATCAGCGGAGCAACCGAGCACCGCTAAAGCCGCGACCGGCGGTCAAGAAAACGGATCCAGCGGAAGAGTGGCGTTCAGCACGCCTGTGTCGGTCTCGAAACAAAGGTGCCACAGCGAGGGGGAAGGCGAGAAATGCGAGGAGGAAACGGCACCGTTGATCAAGACCACCAGATTCCAGCTACCACCGTCGCTCGCGGCACACTCGATTCCCGACACGTCCGTGAACGATGCAGCGGAGAAGCATCGTTCACCTCAGGGTATATCGCCCATCAAAACGCCAGCGAATTCGGGCAACTGTTACACGCCTTACAGAACTCCAAAGTCTGTAAGAAGAGGCGCTCAGGGCGGTATCAAGAGTTCGGACGACCGTATACTCGGGACGCCTGACTATCTAGCCCCGGAGTTACTTTTAAAACAGAGTCACGGACACGCGGTGGATTGGTGGGCCCTGGGCGTCTGCCTTTTCGAGTTTTGTACCGGTGTTCCGCCGTTTAACGACGAAACGCCGCAAGCTGTGTTCGCGAATATTCTCGCCAGGGACGTTCCCTGGCCGGAGGACGAAGAATCTTTGTCGTCGGCGGCCATAGTGGCTATAGACGCTTTGCTCACTTTAGATCAGAACGAACGTCCATCCGCGAAGGAGGTACAGGTCATGAGACTATTCCAGGAATTCCCTTGGAACGAGCCGCTCAAAGCTGTGCCGCCTTTCATACCTCAACCCGATGACAATTATGATACGTGCTACTTCCAGGGTAAGTTACTCCGTCCAACGATTACTTAACTACGAGCAGATTCCTTTAAGACGTTAAATGCTACGCGAATTTATGAGAAAATCCCCGCCAGGCCACGTGCGTTATATGTGGCGTTGCCTTCTATGTGCGCCACCAGAGGGGTCGCGTACTCACAAGCGCTCGACCAACTTCTCAATATCCCTAGTCTAAGGCAGGGTTTGTTAGAAAGCCTTATTGATGAGTCTACGACTTCTCTGAGTTCCTACCCATAGCAAAGCAGCGCCACATATGCAATTAATCGAAAATTCTCGCGACCCGAACTGAAAGTTCAGTGTCAGTCACCGGTGACCGACATGTTAAATCTATTTTCTTTTCTGTTTACAGCACGGAACATTATGCAGCATTTAAACGTGAGCAACTGCGACACGTGATCTAGGGAAAATTGCCTGCTCTTACGAAGGAATAGAACATTAACGCAAGAACTGTTACATTGTAAAACTATTTTTTTATGTAGTTGTATATGTATAATATTAAAAAATATTTTATTACGACTTACATTTTATGCGTGATCACTTATCTGTAGGCGAAGATTCGTGAGCTTTTATTTTCCATTCGATAACGATTAAAGGAGGATGGAAGAGATCGCGTGGATCGGGAAGTGTGTTGATGATTTTCTTGACCGAGCGAATGAGGGCTGTTTTTATGTGTGTACAAAGTCTCGTTATTCTACATGATGATGCGTCGCGTTATTGGATGATTGTGAGAATGATACCGACCAAAATTGAATACTTTATCGATTGGAACGAGTGGCACCTGTATTAACCTCCTCTCCTTTACTTTAGATTTTTGTTAATCCAGGGCAGGAAATGCGTTACTCTCGTGTAAACGCCCGGATACTGGCCCTTCCCGCATCCTATACCCCAGCTGACAATTCCCACTTGCGTCCAGCGTCCATCGTTAACCATCAGAGGGCCGCCGCTGTCGCCCTGTAATAAATCTCGTGTTGTCAAATCTTATTAAGAACGATCCATAAAGGAAGCATTGCGATGCAAACCGAACAAGAATCCTTCGCGGCCCGTCCCGCGCAAAGAAAACTGTCCACGATACCACCGGGTGCTGCTGCACCGTACTTCACTTTGCATTCGTTATTAGTCCAGACTGGAACCGAAACCTCTTGAAGAATTGCCGGTTGCGGGCCACCTTGACAAGTAAAATATTTTCTACGCAAATATTTCGGGGGAGAAAGTTGCACTTGAAATCGAAAACTAATTTATTTTCTCTTACTCTCTCTTAAAGAACCCCAGCCAATGACCGTCGCAGTCTTTCCAGCGTACAGCTGGGATCCGCTTGGCAGGCAGATGGGTCGTATCTGTGCCGTGAACGGAACGGGCTCGCTGAGAGTCAGAAGAGCAATGTCGTTGTACAAGGTACGTAGATTGAAGCCCCTGTGTCTGACTATTCGTTTCACTCGTCGTTCGACGTGTTTAATCTCCGTGTTGGTCTTGATGTTGTAATCGCCAAGACGAACCGTTAGCCTCGCCACGTCCCACGGGTTCATGCTAGGAACATTCGGTTTAGCTTGTATACATTAAAAATATTACGTTAAAACATTGCACGGCTATAGAAATGCGACTTGGGTTAGGTCTCTAAGATGTTTGGCCAAACATTTACCAGTATATTCTACTGTAGTTGGAATAAGACCAATCGTAGTGATACCCAAACTTTTTGAAAGGTGCCTTCCCTAGAAAAAGAGAATTTCTGCGCTCGTAATTTATAAACGATATGACCATCCTAACACTGTAATCTTCTTCATAATTGCTGTATCACTGAACCTCTCTGTGCCCCGAATCGTTTGAGTTTTGCTCGAATTCCAGAACGAACAACGAATACGCCACAAGGAGATTGTTTTATCATGCTGTGCGCCCATCGTATACTTACTTGGCAACGCAATGAGCCGCGGTTAGAATGTGTTTATCGTCGATGAGCGACCCGCCGCAGAATTGTCGTCCGGAGTTGAAGAGCGCCGCGACCCAAGGCCACTCGCCGAGATCGGCATTCTGACCACCCACAATGCGTTCCTGGTCCTGATTACCGTTCTTCGCTCCACATTGGGATCCGACCGTGCCAGAAAAACTTCCCGTGGTGGATCTCTGCGTGGTGGTAGGCGCGGTCGGTGTACCCGGCCACCAGCCGGGTCTCTTGGTCGGCCAGGTCGTACCGTAGGTGGGCTTATTCGTGGTGGTGATCGGTTTCACCGTGGAGATCGTCACAAAATCGAAATACGGCGGGTGGGTGGGCAGCGGTGGGATGGTGTGGTCGGGTGGATGCGTCGGTATCGGCGGTGGCCAGGAACCTGGTGTTTGAGGCGGTCGTTTCGTGGTCGTTGCGTCGTTGTTCTCATCTTTGTCGGTTCCCTAAAACGTCCGGAGTAGATCAGATAAATGTTACAATTGTTAAAAGAAACGGTTTAGAAAGAGGATCCCTGAGATCGAACTCTTATATTTCCAATCGCATTGTTTCAAGCTTTGGTATCGAAATAACTTTTCCCTTTATCTTGCGATAGAACAGTCGTTCGAGATTTCACAGAGGAACTGGACACGATCGGGCACGGTTTTAAAGCCGATCGTAAAAGTTTGCGAAATGGTTTGGTACGATAGAGACACCCGTGCCGCGGCTTTCTAAGCTGAATCTAACGTTTTCGATTCGCATCACGTATTATCTTTACGAGTTCCTGGTATCTAACCGAACTCTGCGATCGACCGAGAAATCGCTCCAACTGGGGACTCCATCCCAGCGAAACGTTCTATCATAGTTCAATTTTACACACTACTTGAATTTCTAGATTTTTTTTCTCCTCCATTGTGACGATTTCGGTTGTCAAATGCGGTGGTTTACCTGTGCATCTTCTACGTCAGTCTCGTCCTTCTCGCTCGAAGGTGGCGTAACGACCGGAAGTACGTTAGAGCAACAAATCCCGAAGCTAGTTTGGCCAGGATCTCGAACGTAACTGCAGGTGTCGTAAACACCGAGGACCCAACCGTCCAGGGCGCTCAGATCGGGGATTTTGAAATAGGGATAGCACTCTTTGAAGCTGGTGCAACGACCAACCTCACCTTTCGACGTCAGACAGGTATCGCGACTAGATATTCCGTTCCACAGAATACCGCGACTGTCCCTCGATTCGAATCGCCCACCCGAAATGATGGCAGCTATAGAACGAAACAGAATGAGTGTTAAAAATGAGGAAAGAAGAGATAAGGACTAGTTTAGTGTGCCAAAAGTTCGTTACTTTTCATAATAACTTTTATTCGCATTTATTTCTTGTAATATCTATTCAATAACTTCGTTACCTCAGCATAAACCACATTGTAATGTTTACAAAGGACCACAGTTACAATGAATACTTGCCTCATCGCTTATACATGTACACGTGTATTCTTTAACGATGTCCGACAAAGAATGACACATCGTCTACCATTGCGATGAATGCAGATTGTTTACGTAACGTTGTGTGAGTGACTGCGTGACACATTCGTCGAAACAACGTGCCATTGACACCAGAAACCATTTTTACCCTTTTCTGTACCTTTCGTCGAATTTGAATAATAATGAGAAATTCTATGCCCACTCGCACCGTTTCACCGTGAAATCACACAGTCGAACGAACTTTACGAATTCAAAATTACGATTGGTATTCCTTTTGTGTACTCGAAGCATCCAAAATATTATCGCAACTTTCATTTTTTATTATTTTGAAATATTGAAACGTTCAGAAATAATATTTTGGATTTCTCTAATAACAAACCGATCGACTATTCGTTTACAAATTTCGATCGAATCTTGCGCGACGCATTTTCGAACCTACACATTTACATCGACGCCCCGTGATTGTATTCCTCTCATGCTCGACACATTCTGATACGTCTTACCGTCGCGGTGAATTTTAATTGCAAAGGATCAAGAAAATGACCCACTTTACGATCACCGGTCGAACCGTGGCTCGTGGTGACATCGAAAATTTATCTGACCGGTCGCTAAGGAGATATATTGTAATAGAATTCTACCCAGATTCTCGAACAGCGAGTTCGCTGACCCAGGATACACACAGGTGCACGCGTGTGCCAACGACGCGGCTGGTACGCGCCTGAAAGACTTCCGTTCGCCGTGTATGGATCGATGGATCAGTTGTCGATATTCACCTTCGATTATTAGCACGCGCGACAGACGATTCTAGTGTCATTAGTACTGCCCAAACAGCTCGATAATTTCGGATAAATCGTAATGAAAGCATCGTAACGCTCGAGTATTTATCTTTTCACTTCCGCGGATGATCCTGAGTCGATGCTCGAGGATCCACGAAGCACGTGGCAGTAGCTTACTCACGATGAAATTAAATTTCCTAGCAACGCGATGGTAACTTTGCGCTGTTACTTCTAAAAATTGAGCGCTTTTTCTTCGACAGAGACGTATACGTAATTTAAATTTAACCATGGCGCGTGCTATGTATGTCGTCGTAGTGGCGCCATCGAAGAAAGTGTATTTTATTTTGGCTTGTAAACGATTCGACTTTGTGATTTTGTTTCAGGATGTTAAAACGACATTGAAATTAACTAATCTGAATTGTCGTCTCGCCAAGAAGACCTAAGTCATAGCCAGAGACGGAGCAAGGACATCGACACACTGACGACGACTCACCATCGACGATCACCGCGTTATCATCCTCGTGCCCCTGTTCGATCGAGGAGTCGACGACGATCGATCTGGCCTCGGGATCGACGTAGCTCGCGTCAGCGATCGCGAGGATCGCCGCGAGCGTTTGCACCACGAGCACCAGCACCATCGTGAACGACGACATGCGTCGCCGTCGGTCCGTGTCCGACCGTACGTGTAACCACCAGCAAGAGAACAACGCGTAAACCTTGGACCAGCACGAGATGTTGGGGCGCTGTTACCCGTAGGGATCCTGAGGCAGACACTAAGTTGCCAATCTGCTGAATGGCCGCTGCTCGAGCTTATAACGGGCTCGTCCTCCCCTCTCGTGCTCACTCTGCTGTTCTTTGCCCCTAGCAGGTTCGACGCCGTCGAGTCATCGGGCTCTCCTCTTCTTCTTTTACCGGCTGGCGAACGCTTCCAACCGTCCCCGTGGAGCCATCGCGAGGAAAAAGGGTGGGCAGAGGGCGCGAACGAGAACCGTGGACCGCGACTAACGAGTTTCGATCTCTTGGAAATTGACGGATCGAGCACGTTTTTACCCTTACGCTGCCGGGAAAAGTAATAATAACGTTCGGTAAGTGTTTCGTAGAAATTAACTAAACCTGTACGTTTCACACATTTTTTAAAGAAAGTTGTGTGTCATGGCTTTCGATAGGTGTCATCGCCACGGAATATTTCAAGCCCATAATTTTGCTCATGTATTTATGCGAGCTCGAGGAATCTTGAATTTTAATTTACATATTCGTCGAGTGTGAATTTCTCTATGCACACGGTACCGATCTGATCGATCGAAGGAGGCAGGGAACGATCCGTTAATGGCCGGAGAACAACCGTCGACCTTGTTATCGAGAACTCGATTTTATTTCTCCGTTTTTTCGTATTGGCTTTCGTAATGGTTTGTCAGTCGCTTGGATGATCGGCCGTACCTAATTTCCCCGTTCGATAACGAACGACAGGACTGTTATCCGATATGTATCGGGAATATGTTATTCGACGGGCACGAAACACGCTTCTGGACGCGATCGAGCCGTTCGACAATAATTTCGCGCCGATGATTATGCAAGTTACGTGACGGAACCGGCTCAACTTTGATTTGTCGCCGTTCGAATGCCCTGTCGAACATGAATGCCGAGCTCAACTCGCATTTGCATAGAGAGTACGATCCTCGGGCTGGCCTTGAAGAGGCCGGGCAGAAGGCTGCACGTAAGGGACGGCCGTGAACTTGCCAGTCGTGTGATCCTCGCGCTCCATCGCGAATGCCAAGCGGTAAGGTGTGCATTTCCTTTTGACCACGATGAATGGAATTTCTTGGAACCCGCCAGTGTACTTACACTGCACGGTGTTGCAAAGATTGCTTCCGAACGATGCTTACGACGCGAGGAAAATCCGTCTTTCCGCCTATAAAGCTTGTCTTCCGAGACGATAACGCTCAGCTAATAGAACACTCTCATTTCTTTTCTAATTTTTTTTTTTGGAAACCCCATAAAAACATGTAACTTTCTCTCACGTGTTTCTATGGGTCTGAACAGGATCTACAAATTTTCGCATTCAAGAAAATTTATATTGTAAACTGGAAGGCTTTTATGATAGGAATCCTGAATGTTTGCAATAACAAAGTATTTTAGTCTGTAGTTTTGTTCACCCCTAATAAATGGAAGTGGAAATATTAAAGTTCGGATAATAGGGATTTTTTGGCCAAGAAATCAAGCACCTGTAGTCCCCCCCCGGGCCCCTTGTATCCACCGCGTGTCGACGCTCTTCGTTCACGAAAATAATATCAAGGGCAGTCCGTCGGAGGAAACAAGAACGAAAAGAAGTCAGGACCGATCCTTGAGATGGACGTAAACTTAGCGTTTTGTGGTTCAACGAACTGCCTCTTAAAGAGCGAGGAGAGGAAACCCGTGTTGATTTGGCCTTTTTTCAGCTCCTCTCGTGTTTAGTTCGAGCAGGCCATTAATAATTCGCGCGAAAGAATCGTCGATTGTAGCGTGTTCGATATGTCGGAGATAGGGTTTCTAAGAACTCTAATAGTCTTTGGGTAACAGTGGAATTTAAATCGAAAGACATCGTTTAGAAACGAAAAAGGACAGAAAAGATCGTGAATTTAATTACCAAATAAAAACTAATATTAATAGAAATCGCATATTTGAATATCGTAACTTAAATTCGGAGAAAGATGGCGCCACCCTCGGCGAAAGGGACTTCCAATAATTGATAAGGTGACTGCCACACTCGTCAAACCGGACCATTCCGAAAATGTTCGCGAGCTATTTGTAGGACCTGGAAGACCAGGGTATCTCGGAACGTTGAACTCCCGGTGTAGCAGAAAATTTTTCAGGGTTCCTCTGACGGAGGATCTCCCTTTTGGTGGCAGAGTCTTAATGGCGTGTCTGACGATGCTATCTTCGCGCTTAATTGCAAACCGATGTCACCGGAAAGATCAAGGGGACACGGTTTGTAATTTTGTTCGTGGACACGTGGAATTCTTAGAACTCGAAAGCTTACATAGGTTTTCCCCCCCCCGAGCGTATCGCGTTATTTGATATACACGTTCTAATTCGAGGCGTTCAATTTCTTCTTCGATGCCTCTCTTGAACCTGATTTGAATATTCGACTGATTTATGGCGGACACGTTATAACGTGTACATCCTCGAGACCCGAGAGATCGAACAGGATATTTCTTTTAACCCCATTCGTGGATTTTTAACGTTTGTTGTGGATTACTCAATGCGTTCGAGGACCGGTTTGGTATTCCGTCACTAACCGGTAAACGGTACATGTTAAAAATTATTATAACATGCGTATGTAAAGCTAACTTCGAATATTATTGCACACGTTTATCTCCAGCAGATCTGAAAGGGTTGAAGATTAGATGATTATTATGTAAAACAGTTCGTCTACGATGAATACCAAAAGATTTTCGAGTCCTTTATCTTAATTTCGTTGTGGCGCCACTGTTGGATCACTGGATCTCGAGTCTCGGAAACGTGGAAACCGGTTGCGTCAGGGTTGCTTTTTATTATGCGGCTATAAACAGTATCAATGCACTCCACGTTTTACAACGCTGTTCGACAAATAAAATGCACGATGTTTTCATTAAGTTGTTGCACAGTGAAACTTGCTTCCATCGAATTTGAATTGTTGATTCCTGGACGTATCCTTTTAAGGCAGTTTCTTAGGGCGTGTGTACGTGTAATCGACGAATGACTACAAAAGAAAACAATCGTACGTTATTGTAAGTTTTTTAAGCCCGTCTCGAAGTAACCAAAGATTTGTTATTGCGTAAGATTTTCATCCGAAAATCTGTTGTTTGGCCAAATCACGTGCTTCGATCTCGGTAATCGTTACGTAAGAACCACCCTTCGTTCGCGAGTTATTGACCAGCAAGGAATTCGAACGACAAAGGCCAACGTGTGTACAGATAACTTTATGCCAGGGCCAGTGTCCCCCTACAAGGTCGTTTATTCACACGCGATCGTCGCAGTAGGTATTCAAGCGTACAGCATGTAAGCGATTAGCGGTGACACTGAACACGAGTATTCGACTTGAAGCATCGTACTTAACGATCGATGCACCGGAGCGGAGACTAGCAAAGGGCTGGACCGATTCGATAGATCCAATTTTTCAATATATTGCATTTTTTTTGTAAATATTTTTAAATATTCAAAACGATGACATCCATTAAATTGGTGGATGATCTTGGAGTGTTCTCAACAATTCCATTTGAGTTAAAAAAAAAAATGGCACCGACGCAGGCCATCTCGATATCAAACGGATCCCGTCCCAAACAACTTCTGGTATCTCTAAAAAGGAGTGGCCTCTCCTAAGTGCCTCACCCCGTATACAACCGTGAAACCAACTTAGATCCCTCTAAAAGTTTGTCAGGCACCTCCGTCCAATTTTATGATCCGTGACTTGTTTTATCCTTTATTAGATCCCCGGCCAACAGGTTTTATCGATGCAGAGAATATTCCTCTGTTCCTCAGGCTTGAAAGGGAATTTATTTCTATTATTCCAATTGGAAAACTATACACATATATCTCTTAAAAGAATTATTCCTCGTCGTGGCAATGAAAACACGTAATTTATAAAACGTACTAATATAATATTTATTGTTTGCAATAAACAGCGTAATATAATATCACCTCTGGCACAATCTCACGATGGCAAGACAACGCGAAAAACGGTATATAATCGGGTACTCTGACATCATATCTGGGTCCGGGGACGTGGCTACGGATTCTCGAGCCACGTCCAAACAAAACAGTACACTGTGCGCGTTCGGCCCTTGAGACAAAAAAATTAAAATCGGGCCTAACATTTCTAACAAAATTAAGGCGTATGAGGCCTGTCGGGCGCGTTCCGCATCGTCGTTTAACGTGGTTTAAGTATGATATCGAGACACGGCTTGGGAAACGGTCACGAGAAGCGCTCAAAACTCGCGGCGAGTACGAAACGCAGCGAACAAAATCGTACGAGCAGAGAAAATGGCGGACGTGCCGTAGACGCGGGGGCGTTTTCTCTTTCGTCACGCGATGCTGTCGTTTCCACCGGTTTGGTTCGGCGATTTGAGCCTCTTCCTGACCCTGACGCAGGCTGCCTTTTCATAATGTATCATTAATTAATAATATTTAATAAACGTAAGGATAATAAAGGGATCGTGCGATAGCAATAAAAAAAAAAAAAAAAAAAAAAAAATTAATATCGTTCGCAGCCGCTCGTGCACGCGCGACGAGTCCTCTCGAGGTGCAAACGGCGTTATGACGAATTTGGGTGGTTCGAGGGGCTGGGCTGTGTGCGCGTGGCTGTGGGTTGAGATATCGATTACGGTTAAAAATGTCATGGAGCAACGCTAACAATCTTCATAATCTTGTAGATATCCCTATTCTCTCTCTTTCTCTCTCGACTCTCATGCATACACGCTCCTCATTCACTCGTGTACTTTCGCACATTACGCTCTCTTTCTCGCTACTTCCTCCGACACACTCATCCCTTGTATAAAAATAATAATAATAATAATAATTATATACGGTATTACGTAGCTCTAGTCAATAGAATCAATAATATTAATAATATCAAACTATATGCTGTTCTTGCAATAGATGTAACAAAATATAGTACTCATTATAATAATATGCATTTTACAAGCGTATTTTGATCCTTGCTTTGATATCGGTGTATCGCGACGTATGTGTGACGTGTGCATGATTCGTGGAATGCTCTCTAGTCGAACCTAAACGCGACTGATTACCATTTTATTATCGATGATGCGCGTGTACGTGTTTGTGTGCGGTATGTATACAGGCGTAATCTTTCTCGTTTGATCCGATGAAAAGTTACGCGACGAGAAATGGCAAAAATGGCTCGCTTTCGACGGTGGCACGTTAACGTTATTTCACCTTAAAAACAATATGATCGCAGGCTATCGGTACCATTGTACCCTCGTCGCTTGGGACGACCTTGTTCGCCGGAAGTCGTTGACGATTATTCGCGCACACTCGTGTCTGCCATGATCGACGATCGAACTCGGGTTTCACAGAGGCTCGCGTTGACCATCCGAACCCTTTGGGGACTCGTGTGCATACGGTTTCGAGGGTGGCAATGGAAAATGGTCTCTTTTCTCTCCACTACACGCTACGCTATCTAAGAAGACGTCCTAGGCGAATGGAAAAATGAAATTACATCCCCCAAAGGGTCGTACAACGTGTTCGAGCAGGGGTCGCGTTGACAGATCGATTATAGCGATATAACGTGATTGCTTATAGTAGTCTACACTAAATATCGATGACGCGTCGTTCACTGGTGATTCCATCGAAATTTACCGGCGCGTCTTGCTAGTCTTCTAATGGATTATTCGTTTTTCCGTTTTCTTTTTTACAATCGTCCATGAGGGTTACGTATTTGAGTAATACTTGGTCTTTGTATGATATATCGAAGTAATCCTGGGACACTCAGGAGGTTCTGGAATGATAGCGAAATACCTAAACGATACTTACTAGTATTAAGTAAATGGACAGTTCGTGCAAGTAGAAAAGATATGTGAAAAAGGGGGGATATGACACTGCTTCTCTTCTCGCGATCGAAATGGACTTTTAATTAGGCAGCTGGTGGACTCGACGCAAGAAGCGACTCTTTCATGTTTGGTAAAAAGGACTCCAGATATTCTGTGTTTCCACAATATGATCACGAGCTATTTCCTTTATAATTTAACATCTTAAAGTAATACTTAACTTTTATGACCGATAATCCGAGTTTTGTGTAAGCCGTTTGAACCTAATTTTGACTCGAGGCCCTTCTACCAAACGTCAAAGAATTATGACACTGGTATGCTTCAGAACTTACGATCGAATGGGTGCGCGTGTGTGTATGTGTGTATGCGAGCGTAACGATACGAAGAGATAATGCTCGAATGGCACCCTATCTTGGAATGGCGGCGTTGAGAATTTTTTTTAAGTTCTAAGCGCGAGTCTTGCTATAAAATACACATTCGCATTCTTACAGATGGCTAAGAGCAGCGACGCTTCGCTTCACCGAACGCGCGAACGAGAATTTTTAAACTCTAAATCGACGATACGATAAAATAGAGTGGACATTTTCATATACAATCTATACGTCATACGTATTGCTTAACATGTAACGAAGAGGGGAAGGGGAATGGAGGGGATCTGGGGCAAGGAAGTTCCTTAAATCAATTTTGATTGATTTACATATAGCCGTCGCGTTTCATCCACGACGCCACGGTATCTCTCTAAGCTAACAACCATCGATATAAATTGTTCACAAGTGAAAACAAACAAAAATATAAAATAACGAGTCGCCCTGCGCGGTTTGAAACACGCCTCCTCGCGAAATTGCGCTTCGAATCGACGCCAACGCTGGTACAGGCTGTTCGATGGCCGGTATTATACGGAGAAGGAAAGATCAGTCTCGGGTGGACAGTGTCGAGTAATTTTTTATCGAAACGCCAGGGCTGATCTTTCGTTCTGCCAACTATATTCCGCGCACACGAGCTATAATATTTTTATCATAAAATTTCCAACAGCGTACCAAGAGACCGTACTCTTGGCGGTAACAAATACGAGGTTGGTTCAGATATAATCGTGACTCGTTTCTCTCCGCAATTTATCGAGCCTCGACTCGGTCGAATCGTTATTTACAACGAGACAAACCGAATTCACTGAAAGAATAAATAAAATTTTCATCTTACCTGTCTATCGTTCTACGAATCATTTACATCTATTACGTTGTATTCTTGGGGGGAGGATGGTACAAACTCTAGCCACGTCGCTGCTTCCGTATGCCAAGGTACTCGCCCAATAAATCCACGAAAAGATAGGATCTCGTTTATACGCGAACCACCCTCGCAATTTCGTAGAACGTGTCGAGAACCGACTATCGATATTAACAAAACGCGTCCTCGAGATCAAACGTCCAACCCGTGTCCGCGGAATCCCCGGCGCTCGAACGACAACCGCCCGCGCCAGCGTTGCCCGTGCATCGCAGGACGACCAACTACATCAACTAACAATCTGATCTGACTTCTTACGATTATACGGTACGGACAAGTACGTCGGTCCGTTCAGCAGTCCCAAAGTACAAACAGCGGAGAACGTTGCTCCTCGCGGAATGGGACGTTCGCCGAACGCGTCTTCGTTTTCTTCCTGGTCTTCGTCTTCGCGCGATCGTTGATCGGGATCCTTCGCGCCGGACTCTGAAAACCTCCCTCGTCCCTCGTTCTCGAACTATCGAGCGTCCTTTCGCATTGCACCGTCGCCGATGATCCATCGAGGTAGCGATCATCGTCGGCCGCTCCGTCCCACGGACATATTTACACAACGAAAGCTACGGTATATGCGTATAAGTTTATGTTCCACGCGGCACCGTGTCGCCTCACGTGTTCCCGTTGTCGTGGACGTGCGAGTGCCCGTGGGCGGAATTGGCGAGCGGCGAGTGAGCTATGTGGGCGGGCGACGAGGGTAGCACGATCAGGGTGACGTCGTAGCCGGCGGTGGCCGGCGGGTCGCCCGGGTCGCCGGGATCACCAGGCGATCCGGGATTGTTCGGGTTGCGGTCGTTGCCGGGGTCCGGGTTTACTCTGGAGTGGCTCACCTCCAGGAGGAACAGGTCCTCGTCCACGTAATATCGGATCATGTCGTCGTCAATTTTCGCTGTAATTCTGAAACAGGTCGATTGGAACGTCGTTAACGTCGATAGCGATCGCGGTGTACGCGCGATCGTGACTACCCTGCTTGGAAGGACAATGTTCCGGGGATGGGGGCGTACTTGGGTACTTGATGGAGGAAAGTAGTTTGATCGACGTGTGATGGAAGAGTTGTAATAAGCACGCGTGAAGATCGAAAAGAACAGTTCAGCTTGCGAGGACTAGAATCTCTATGTGTGTTCGTCGAAATGGGATTATTCTCTTGGGATATTTCGGTTTGAAGTTTCTTTGTGAATGCAAACGCAGGCGAGGCGAAAGGTCGTGTCGGGGACAGTCATTTTCCATCATTGCGCGCAGACGCATCCTTGGCGAACCGAGCACAAGTTGTTCCTTTCCTATTACAACAATATTAGAATTTTTCTGTTACTATAGATCTTCCGTAGATTTTTTAAAACGATTTTCTGAAACACATTAAATTGGTGTATATTCCGAATGTTAGGCGTATTTATTGCAACTTTGTTTTATCACACGTCAAGTAACTATTGTTTGCATGAAAAATGGCCAGTTTCGAACAGTGTCCTTTGGGTCGAGGTTCGACGGAGTGGCGGCAACGGGTGCCCGAGAATAACGTGTAAATTAGTACCTGACATTTCATGTGTTTCGTGTCGAGGGGCAGGAAATTTAGAATTCTGTCGCATTCGTTCGTGTGAGGTACATTTTAAACAGAGTATGGTTGAGAAAACCTTGCTCGATAGCTCGACAGATTCGATCGCGCGTTAAGAATCCTTTTAAAGAGACAGATTTACGTTTGATACAATTGAAACATCGCCACACGACTTTCGGGGATGAAAGGAGTACTACTATGCCCATGTCAGACATCAAAATTAACAATAATACGTCTTCATTACACTAGAATACATTGACGATAATTATTAATCATACACTTCGGAAGTTTACGAAAAAAAAAAGTATTGATTAAAGGAGGAGTGAATTACACTACAGAAGGTACAGTTGTATACTGGTTTTAATAACTTAACAATTAAAATTTTAACGTTCTCGAATATTGAAAATGAATAATCGTGCCAAAATTTTACGAGGAAAATAAGAGAGAATCTCTGACCTCGGAGGCTGAAACGATCCTGGCAGGATCGACAGAAGATTACGATTTAAATGCGATTCGAGCAGGCGATCCTCCAACTACTTCGAACGACCAATTATAAATTACCGTCAAAGTCATCAAAATTGAAACATCCTTGGTGAATTTCGATAGCGGCGCCGAGACAAGGCTTATCGGGGTGCATCATGCCTGGTCAAAGCAGGGCGTTGCGCGCGAATCTGTCGGTTACCGAGGCCGCGGTATCAAATGCGAACGACGAGCGGAAGTTCCGTGAAACGCGGCCGGAAAGTGAAAACACAAAGAGCAAGAACAACAAAACACACGTTTAATCTCAGGCAAAATGAAGTGGCGTGATGCGTCCGAGAGGCACGATATGTACATGCTGGTGTCTAAGAAGCAAAAGTAGGCATGCGGAGAAGACGTGCGGAGGCAGGCAAAAGGCAGGCGGAGGCGCGCTCGATTACTCGTGACAGAAGAAAAAAGACAAGTAGCAGAAGAGATTAGTGGATTAGTCGGAGCGTCAGGGCAACGCGGGGCGAGAGCGTGGCCCGTCAAAGAGTGAGAGAAAGAGAGAGGTCGGCGCAAGTACCAGGCAGAAAGAAGTAATTAGAGAGTATCAAACGGCGTGGTAGATCGAGCAAGAAAATGATAGAGCGAGAGAAAGAAGATACGGCGGATAGAGGCACGATCGCAGCGTGATAGGGAAAAGACTACCGAACCAGCCGGAGAGAAGTCAGGCAATGTCACCGTTATGGCATGCACTACGTGGGCGGTGCATGCAAGTAAAGATGACACTCTACTAAACTTACCCCTTTGTGTTTTTGCGATAGAGGTTATTAATACTCGAGGATGCAATTTTGTACTTTGACTCAATCTGTAAAATAGAAAAAAGTAGAACATTAGAAATTTTGACAGTGGTTGCGGACCATCGGGTCGGGGAGTTTTCTCCGTGCTCGACCCCCGAGGAAAGGCTACCGTACAAAACTGTACCGAGTCCGCGGACGCGTCGAGACAGAGACAAGACGAGAGACAGAGAAGGGACAGAAGAGCAGATTTCGTCGCGTCTAGGAGAATAGAGAGAACGATAGGCCGACTCGAAGATAGAGATACACATTGGGCGGCGGGGTTTGGGTGGGAGGAGAACAGAAAGAGAAAACGCGATCACATACGGTTAAAAACAGTTCGCACGGATCGGTCCGCGGCGGTAGGAATGGCGGCTGGAGTCTCGTACCGGAACACGCGCGTGAGATAATAGAGGAGGAACGCGAACAACGAGTACCATGTTTTGCAATTTCTTTCCACTTTTTTCTTCTGCCACTGGATCGCTAGCAACAATGCGACCATCGGTGTCTTCTAGCTTACAGAGCAATGGTTCCGACGCGGCTGCCGACGCCGAAACCATCGTTCGTCTCACGCAACTCAAGGGGTTAATCGATCGCGCGTCGTCGACAGACGACGAAACATGATCGTATTAATTTGTGAGGATTTTTGGAGGAGTGATGCATGCGCGTTAATATTAATACCAGCGTATGGAACGGTGCAACAAGTATTAATAATGGGTGTGGTATGTCCCCTCGCATGCATGGCTAATACATCATGGGTGTGTTTCTTGTAATATTATCCCGTGTATACTCTCGCGCATCACTCATTACTCATACCGGGGGCAACGGTTGTCAAAATCGAACACGGCCGCGCGGCTATACGTGATTAATCGGCCGCGTCGAGATTATCGCGATGTTAACCGTCGCGATCGTCGAAACGGGCCGCGCGTGTCGCTTTCTATCGGGACTTGTTACCGTGCAGGTTTCGAAACGTTCGTTCGTTATAAATAGAACCGAACGATACCGCGTTTTCGAACGCACCCGAGCCTAACCGTGGCTCACTTATGTAACGCGCCATTTTTTTTCTTTTTCGACGGTCCTGGCTCGCGTGATTTCTCCGTTTGAATTTTCCTGCCCTTTTAGAAACGGGATTACGAACGAATCACGAGCCGCGTACGCGTGAATTTTATTCATTCGCGAGTTTCGAACCTCTCGACGGATTCTTCGAACCGTTATCCAGACGGACAGAAGCTAGTTTCTTTCTATAATTGCTAATTTTATCTTTCATTCGTTGTAGATTTTGTTTAGACAAGAGTTTCGCCCGTTTCTGTTCGATATCGCCGGACGAATCGGTCTACAGTCGGTTTGAAGGAAGAATCGTCTCGGGAGACCTCCCACCTTTCCAATATAGAGAATTTTACCCCCACTCTGTTGGGTGATAGCGACGGGTTCGAGAGTACCGCGTGCAACGTACAAAACTGATGAAATAATATTTATTTAACACATTCGCTACCGAGCATCGCGAGAAATCCCAACTCGTTATTCAGAATATTTATTGTGGATACTCATAAATTACAGTAGCAAACGTGTTAACCATTAATTCATGCATACAAACCCCATCCTGGTCTTTGGTCCTCGCGTAACTTGAAATAAAAATTGATAATTATTTACCATGTTAACGATCTCATCGATTTCAATGAACCTTGAAGTACGATGAGTGGGAAGATCATCGAGTATCTTCGACTCGTGATTGAGGGTTGTTCACACCTAGTTTCGAAATTATAGGCATTAGAAATCAAGAGAAAAATGGTAGATAATTATGATTTATTTTTATGTCAGAATCTCAAACTCAGATCTAAACTCCTTTTTAACATACTCTGAAGCCATTAAAATCGATGACGTCTATACTAATTAAAACGATTGGTTTTGAAAATTAGTTTTTCTTTGATTTTGTTACTATGCAGAACATGTGTATCAGTTAAACGACAGAAGACCCATCCCCCTGCCTGACATATTTATGAACCATTCTTTTTTAACATACTTCGAGGACATTGGAACTGTGTAGCTATTAACATGGTAAATAATTACCTAAGAATCGAGTAGTGTATTTAGTTAAACGCATCAGTAATCGACGAGTGATTCAACCAAAGGCAATCCTGGCGACCATATTGGTTCGTCTACAACCCCACATATCCCACAATGCATCGATTACTGGTACATTTACTCCAAAACTATCAATCGATCGTCAAAGTCGTGTTTCGTTCTGATTGCGAAAAAATAAAAGTGGGAGTTCAAAATTAGAACTTCATCCCCCCCCAACTCGATTCTTCCTTCCTGGAGGCGAACCCCAAAATGGCTGACGCGAATCTATGCGTGTCTAGGTGTGTTGGACCCGGTGCGTGTGGTCTAAAGAAGAATTCTAGACGTGTCTTACAGCGTTTAAAAGTCCCTGGACGGTCGGTGGCGTCACGTGCAGGGGCGTGTAGACGTCCTCGGACTCCTGGCGGACGTAGAGCATCACCCTCTCCTCGGTGTCGGCTGGCCGCAGATGGGGCGGTTGTTGTTGAAGGTGCAGTCGGTTACCAACACCGGACACCACCGTCCCGGCTAGTCCTGCTTGTTGCACACCCTGCAGCACCGAGCCCTGCAGCTCCTGGACCTGCATCAGCAACGAGTCCTTCTTGTCGTGCAGGCTAGTCAGATTGTCGGGCGGAAAGTGGTTGTGGAACTTGAGGGCAGGCAAGCTGGGTCTGCCGCAGGCCGGGTAAGGGCTGCTGCCACCCGCCTTCAATCCTCCGCCCTCCCCATTACTGAGGGACGACGTGTCGGTGTCGCCACCGCCCCCGCCGCCGCCTCCGTAGAAGCCTGACAACTCCATTGTCGAGAACTGTCGTGGAACAAGAAACAGACATTTTTGCTATTTGCAAGCACGAGCTACTCATAATTGATCTCGAAATCTTTTCACACATCAGTACCCGATGGATCGAAGAAAAATCTTTCGGATCAAACTTCCGGAGAATATCTCTCTTCTATAAATTAGAATTAGAATTATTCCATGTAATATAAACTGTATCATCAATAGGATGATCGACGTACCCAAGAAATTATGATCTTGAATAATTTTTAAAGTATGGTAGGTCTGGAAAGGACCCCCAATTTACGAAGGAGCCAATTTATAGAAGTTGAGATGTGACGAGATAAATTCGTCTATTGTTTAATGTCTGTGGACTCTAGTCATGTTTATAGATTTCGGAGAATAGTTATTTGTTCGGTAGCTTGTTCTATATGGTTGTTATCGCGATGTAAGAGTTGCGTTTCGTGGAGAGTTTTGGCGGTGTTGAGAGCAGAGGATTGGGGTGGATACTATGTAGACATTGCTGGCAGCATTTTAACCCTTTCGTTCACAGAAAGATCGTTCAAACAAAACCGTATGATTGCAAAAGAATCTCAGTAGTTGGTTGCATTTTCAATTAATGATAATCGTTCCAAAAATAGTCTTCTCTACTATCAGTACCCGTAACAGAGATAAAACACAACTACTATACAGCTGATACAAATCTTATGCCAATTCCTGTATAGTATTTCACTGTTTCTCCTCTAATGGCACTAGTAGTAGAGAGTAACTTGATTTTAAATTAAAATAACGTAACAAAAGTTCTCTATTTTTTATGGAGGCGTGTTCAGAGATGTTTGGAAATATATTGAAAAATTCAAAGTATTTCGAAGGAGATAGTGTCGTAAGTTGTGTACGAAATTTTCTTGGTGAATGTGTGCTTCGAAGAAAGTGTTCAAAAGGGGAAAAGAGTAGTGGAACAGTATTGTATGGGTACCTTGTCAATGGTGTGCTCCGCCGGTGGGGAAAACAGGACTGGAGGTTTGTGAAGGTCCACCATCGAGTAAAATTCGCTGCGTTCCGTGACAGAATGGTACAGTTCGTCGAGCTTTTTCCTGCCAGTGGCCGTCATCTTCCTCTTCGCTGCTCTCCTCTCCTCGTCGCGAGTCTTCCTCTCGGCTCCCTGGTAAATAACATCAGTAATTCATGAGTTTTTAAATTCGAGCTTCTTTATTTCATACAAAAACCAAAGAAGCTCGTAGGGGCTCAGATCGAGCCCCCGTAGCTCCCTTCCTTGTATCCGCCACTGTTTCCTTGCAAATAACACGCAATGGCTAGGTAGAAATAGAAACCTGATCCGTTAGAAAACAATTGCTTCGAGGAAATAATTACATATAAAATAAATTGTGGTTACTGGAGCGTTTCTTGGAAAGATGTATGTTGCGATTAGGTTTAATAACAGAGTATCCTTTCTTGCCCATATTGTGCAACATCTATTTCAGTATAGCGAGTTTTAATGGAAGATTCTTATAAATAGAAAAATAATCGGGAAACGACGAGCAACTAATCGATACTTATTTATTTTATCTCCAAGCATACCTTCTGATCCATATATTTATCATTTACAAAAGGTACGAACCCTGTAAGACAATGAAGTCAGTATTTCTAGACTTATTACGATTGATCTAGATCCGAACGAAATATTCGATTAAGATGTGCTCCGTTAACTGCAATTTTGTTTAGAGTAGAATTTTAATTTACTTCGTGATCAGGTTGATAAATGGAGGTAAATTACAACTACCTTATCGCAAAAGACTTTGATCTGACAGTAGCCACGATGGGACGGCGGTGTGTACGAGTGGGCGTGCGGGGGTGGTTCCTCGTAAGTGTCCACTTGGATGTGCAGAGGCAACCCCTTCACACCCTTCTGACTCGAGAAGTCGGTGCTGAGACACTGTACCGCCACGTTGATCTGTAACAAGATACGCAAATACTTCGATCTCATTAAATTTCTCATTAAAGTTTCCTATAGATCGCAATATGGAAACACGAATCTCTTTGATGAACGATAAAGGGCTCTCGTACCTTCGCCGAGGACTCGAGTGGATTCCAATAAACTGCAATCGCGTTGTGTGCAATTTCCTCTATGCAGCCCACCAGTCCCACGCTGTTCTTCGTGTCTGTAATGGTATAAATCATTGTCAAAGTCGTGATCACTCAGCACGGGCTCGAAAGGGCGCCATTTAGCGCCATCTTACCGAACTTGAAAAAATCCTACATCGAGCGGCTTGCGCAGAAAATATCACGGCAGAGATAAAAATTAAAACATCACAAATGATTTAGTGAACTATTTACTTGAAATTATTAGGTGTAGACTTGGTACTTTTTTTTTAGTAATACAGTAAAAGATATAGAGTTCCACTTTAGAAAATTACACGGAGATTATGCACCGTTCGATCCCGTTTCATATTGCCTTACGACATTTTTATCTATCCCCAACCGTTTTATGGATACAGCGTTTCCCACTCGCGTGGGACACTGTGTAATTACGAAAGATATAAAGATGTAAGGTTTTAGTTTTGATCGAGCGAACTGATTAGAATGTAATTTGTGCGTGTGTGTACGATGGTGCCCATTATTCAGAAGAGGACTTAATGGTACAAGCTTGGCGATTTTGCATGCTTTACTTACCCGCGTCGAGAATACGTTGCTTGACAGAATGTTGCCTTCCGTGCCAGAACTGCCACGCCTTAATCTCGTCTTCGGGGCTCTTCTCTTCTCGGAACATCAACATTACCACGCTCTGCGCGACAAACCATCAAGAAAACAGCGTAAGTACTTTATTAAGGTTAATACTGTAAGGGTAGATAAACATGGTTTCCGCCGACGTATTTTATGCTATTCTTTTTTCGGTTTGTCTTTTTTTAACAGCAGGCATAATTTCGCGTGATCGCGTTTTAGTGCGTTCCGCTGCGGAGCTTCTTAACGTCGAGGTTCCGTTACGGTTCTTTGGATCAGATTAACTAATTCCCAATGAAACGTTCTGTCCCCGCGATGGATACATCTTGGACAATGTTTGGAAAATAGAGAGCGACGAAATTGAAAGTAACAGACGGGAAGCATTTTTACGAGACCCGCGGGTAAAAATGCAGTTTTGCTCATTTTCAACAGGAAACGTTCGTGCAAAAAATTGACGTTAGTCGCAATGGCAGCAGGATGCTGGGGATTAACGTGGTTCGTAGAACAGGCGGCGAACGAGACGTGGGAAAAACAACCATATCGACGATCGAGTCGAAAGTTTAGATCGTCTGTCTGTCGCGACAGACAGAGCGAGTGTACGCGAGATCGCGTGCATCATAAATTACACGGTAGCGTGCAATTATGTAATGCAAATTACAGAGAATCTGGGATCAATGGGCATCAATGAGCGGTTCTGCGTATTTCGCGGCGGGAATTTTTCAAATTTCACGCGTAATGATGCGCCTGCGCGACCCTCGCGGTATCATTTGCTCTCGACGATTAGCGGGCTATGTTGACCAGAATGTAATTAAATTTACAACTGGAATTCCCGATTGATAACTGCGGTCGATAATATTTTAAATCGCAAACGCATGAAACTTCAGGGGAATCCTTCATTCATAGCCAGACATTATATTTTCAGTAAGGAATTTTTTTCTCGAAAATGCGTAGGATTTCGGAGATACGTCTATTCACCAAAAATGATTGTAATTGACCCCTGCAACTAAAAATAATTTTTCCGAAACGATTTGAAATTTTTTTTTTTCGCCGAAAAATTTAGGCACCTTCTATGATTGCTATTCAGATAACCGGGTGCCGGATAATCCGAATACTACTGTACCAGTTTCCTTGATTTCCCTGGTTGATTCCTTGTTTTCTTGTTGGTAAGAATGGACAATGCTCGATCGGTAACGGTGAATAACGCGGAATCTGTTCGCGCAGCGCCAAGGCGGCAAATTTCGCGTGAGCGTGGCATCGTTCCCGCGACATAGACACGCTTGAACGCTCGGCGTCCGCGCAGGCGTATAAATCACGCGGTACCGTATAATCCGGTAGCATAAATCGCACCATTCGACACTGCTAATTCCCAATAAACGGCCGCGTATTCGTAGATAGCCGTGTTTTCGATCTTTTTCTCCGTTCGCGATCGTGATTCATTGGTAAAAATGTGTCGTACGGCCGAGGTGCAATTATGTTGATTAATCGACTGGGACACGGGACAGTCGATTTTTATCTCGCTGCGAGCCGTCGATCGAACGATTGGTCGTTTCGATTAAAATGGCGGCCGTGGATCGCGGTGGCTACCTACGTCTCTGTAATTACGGAGTATAAGGTTTCGGTGTATGAAACTGTGGTCTGCGAAGAAAGGAACGCGCTATAGAAGTGCTAGAGATTGCACGTTGATAGAAGTCATTTAAGACGCTACTAAATGCGCCTTTGGTGCTTCCCCGAAACAGGAGTACTGTGCATTCGATAATAACTAAGTATGCTTATCGCCGTAATTATTGCGTATACAAGTTTACGAGTCCGTACATCTTCAAATAACTGAACGAAAATTTGAATTCGATAATTCGAGAGTGAGTCATTGGTCAAAGAATATCTAGAAGGGGAACGTCGTTGGGGTATCTCGTAGGGGACAGCACCGAGTCTGCGTGACCGACGGGTGTCGATAGAGACCTCTGTCGACCGCTCGTACGACCATAAGTTCCTCGTTGCACCGCAGTTTAAACTGCCCGATCAGATAAAACGGTAACCTTCGCGGCTAACTAGTTACCGCGTGTCCCCGGGGCGTTTTCGCGGGTTAATATTCATACCCCGGCCCCGTACAGATTGCCGACAAATAATTTAGAATCAGGCAACCGTTCGACGGCGGTAGGCGATGAAAAATACCCGGCTGGAAGTCGCCACGATAACGCGGGCTTCGCGTGAGCGTGACATCGGTCGCGACAGAAGCACGCTCGAGTGCGCAGGCCACCGTTCTGCGGGGATTTTTCGTGATTCGGGTGAATGGGCGAACAATTGCACGCACTGAGAAAACGCTGGTTCTATTAGCAAATAGAGATACGATTTGAAGATACCTTAACGCAAAGAACGGCACCAGAATAAAAGGAAATAACTCGCTTACGATTAGTGCGACTATTATTCGGTAATACTTGACTATTTCAATAGCTAACTAGGATTAGATTGGAAGTAGGGCTCCGATTAGAAGAAGAATCGATAATTCCATTAGTGTTTTATCATTATTTCCCGTTGCTCGTCGTAACGAGAGAGCTCAATCTTCCAGTACTCGCCAGCAGAGGGCTATGCTCTCTCACAAGTACTGACCATCAATTGTCTCTGCCTCTAAGGCAACTATAAATACGTCGAGGTACTTTTCTCTGCTTAGAAATGAAGATGGAGTCTCCCATCCAATTTTGAACAATCTACTACTGATCTAGCCACGAAATTAATCGAGTACATTTAGTCATCGAAGGAGGGCAGAGTTTATAGCCAAAAGAATCTGAAGAAGATTGCAAATGGAGTCTCGTGGTACAGGCAAGCAAGGGTAAACATAGATGGAGTAGAGCAGAAGCGTTTGTGGCGGGGTTTACGGATAAGCAGTAATTTTGTACGTACGCAGACCGTTCGAATCGCCACGCGGCTGGACGCTCGATTAGCAATTAACGAGGAAGTCGTAACTCCTAGCGGGAGGGAAAAAGAAAAGAATCAGCAGCTTTATCAGGATGGAAATTGCTAACGGTGCGCCTTGCTGCCAATTAGAGTCGCGAGAACAAACGACCTCGTCCGACTTCTTCTTTCGACGCGAACGCCCCGGACGGGCTGCGCGAATTCTATCGCTCGTAGGAGTCGGTAAACGAGCGTAATGCTATGCAACGCGATGCAACTCGGCCTAATGCGATTTAAGACGGAGCGCGACGCAATTTCGCGTGACCATGTTACGCCGATGAGCGCGCCTCGGGGTTATTGTTTACTGCCGCGGGGAGTTTTATTCGGCGTCTCATTGTGTCGCGCTTCCCGTGCATTACCTGGACAGGACTACGGTGCAAGGAGTGCACCGGAGTTGGCCAGATTTTATTCGCGAATAACTTAATTAGAATTTATTTGCCAATTTTTTCGATCCGACGTTCGAACGACTAACAAAGTATTGTATATGCACTCTACAACGAAGGATCTTGAGACTACATAGGGGAAATTAGAAAATAATTTGTTTCGATGCTTGGATTTTTTTTAATTTCATGTATAATCGCTTCGTCCTCTACGCTTCTTGTTAGTAATATTTCTTTCAGTTTTTTTACGCTTTTATTATATAATGCACTGTAGATTTACTTCGATTTGACTCTGATGATTAAGGATTCCTGAAGATCATGTGGAAACAAACATTGCTTCGAGGGAAATGGCGTTTAAGATTTCTGTTGCGATTTTTATTACCACCGATATGTTAAAATGTATTTTGCTTACCTTGACAGTCTGTCCAGTTTTGAGGGTGGGTTTGTCAGGATCCGGGACATAGTCCAACGTGATCCCGTAGAATTGTCCCTTGTTGATGTAGGTGATTCTGTCGTCCTCGCGGCGCTGCGACGTGCTGATCGGCGACTCGAGGTGATATTTGAATCCATAGGCGGAGAATCTGCGCGCAGATTACGCCAATGAGAAAAACTCGGTGCGATTTAATTGGAACGGTCTGACGTGCGCCGATAAACGCGTAACAACGATTTGATATATGGGTCCACGGGGGAAGAGAAAAACGGCCGGAACTGTGGTAATGGCTGCCCGACAGTCGAACAAACAAATAAAAAGCCGGTAATCTTCATACATTAAGACGCGATTACGTCGTTCGCGTGTGTGCACAGTTTTCCACGGACGCCGGAGTACAAAGATCGGACGCGACGAGTCGACCGTGCATTCCGATTTCTTAAATTGTCCCTTTCGCGTTTAATTCACGCTACGGAACTGTAGCGTTGTGAATAATAGAGATAAAGTATGAAACTTCGGACGGGTGACGTCAATGATTGCAACAGTATGTGTGCTCGTGTGTTTTCAATCGGATTGATTCCCATTATAGAGTATAAACAGTGCACTTGTTTGAATCGAAGATGACTCGGTATGAAAACGTATTTGCAATCGTAGCTGTGACAATACTTTTGTTTAAAAAATTCAGTGATCCACCCTTGGTCTTTCTAGAATCAACTTACGAACGTAACTCATCGACGGGATTGGCTCAGTTTGATTTCGATATATTGATACGTAATCGCGAATGGATCGAAGGCAGAAAAAAAAGGAGAGAAAATGGCAAAGTGCGCATCTTACGGGAACTTTCCTCGTCGCGAGGCGAATGTTTACAGAGCCCCCAAGGCCAATTTCCCGCAAAACCGACACGTTCGACGGGACTGCAGCGCGCGGCTCTAAATATAGAGCTCTGAAACGCGAAATAAAAGGCGATTGTCCTTATCCGAAGGTAGCCGGAGCTTTTCCCTGCCCGCGGTCGGCCTATCGGCGTCGTTCGCGAACTTTCCGCCGGCTCTAGCCGACCTATTATCTTTATCTATGCGACGACACGCGTCGGGGACGCGGTTTCGTATTCGCGGCGGTTTTTCTTTTTTCCAATCGCCGACGGGGGACAACCAGGACAGTGCGTGCGAGCCGATAACCGAGCATGGCCCGGGTGAACGGCCTCCAGCCTTCTGCTCCTGTTTCCCACACCGCCTCACGGTGGTCCCAAGACCACCAATCTTTCACCAAAAGTCGATTTTTCAACCTTGACAAATTTGATATTGATTTGATATGACGATAGTGATAGTGCAATTTGAATATTTTACATATGAATAAGACCTAGTGTGCTCAGAAGAGGCTAAGAGTTTTGGAGTCTTCGTACGGGCAGAGAATTTTCTCGAGTCCTCGCAGGAGATTTATAGCTGTGGAAGCTAATGGGGATTTATAGCGGTAATAAAAGAACCTTTTGCTCATTAAAATCGTCAAGAAACAAGATCATCTTTCTAAACATGATGGGCTACTTACGAGGCAATGACTATTTAGAAGGATTGGAAGGGGCGTTGAACTCGTGGTGGATCCACGAATGGAATCCTTGCGGAATTTGTAATGCAAATCGATCGGCTACTTACATTTTTGGTATCTGGATTTTGTCCGCGTCGTTTTGTCTGCCGAAATCGTGCCACGGCCGTGATCTCGGTGGATTCGGATTCGGGTTCGGATTCGTCGCGGCCGAGGACACCAAAGTTCCGCGTTGCACCTGCGCCTGTGCGTGGCTCTGCTGCAGTTGCAGTTGCAGTGGCTGATGGTGTATCACTGCGCCGCTCTCGAGGACCACCGCGGCGCCGGCCGCTGTTCCTCCGGGACACAATTCCGTGTAGTCGAAAGAGGACTGTGAGAACAAGAAACCCTTCGTTATTAACTCCGTTTTGGATCCATACTGCCTTTAGGAACTGAGGCCTCAAAAGAAGGAGACAAAAAGGATACACTCTCTGGTTATTCTTACGTCGGGGGTTTAAGGAATAACTTTTCGAATAGTCTTAGAATTTATACATATTCCTCACAAAAATACGCGTTATTTGCATTTTGAAACATTGAAATCCTCCAATCCGTTCAGAAGTTATGATGTTTTCAGGGGAATCATTCATTCATAGTCAGACATTATATTTTCAGTAATGAAATTTTTTTCTTGAAAGTACGTAAGATTTCGAGGGTATATCTATTGACCAAAAATGATTGTAATTGACCCTCACAACCGAAAATAATTTTTCCAGAACGATTTGAAATTTTTTTTTTCACCGAAAAATTTAACCGCATACAATGGCTCACAGTATCAAAACAGTATCAAAAACAACTTTGATAGAATTTGAACGTATCTAGAGATGAGAGCTCGTGTTGACCACAAGCATAAGGCCTGCAAATGGGGTTGTTTCTTTCCCTGTGCAATACTCCGAACGATTTCATCCTGACACATCACTGGTACGATAAGGGTCAAGTACCTCGAAGTAGACTCTTACGACTCCAGACGATTCTAAAACCACCCCGAGGTGGTCGCCTGTAGCCCGTGGCCGCGGTCGGAGACGAACTCCGGCTTCTTCCGTGAAACAAAAGCGCAAGGAGCCAGAATAGAATAGGCTGTTGCGGTCTCGTAAAATTGACCAGGCCGGCCGCACGTGTTCCCAGCGGTGGTTTGTTAATAAGCGGTCTGCCGTACGGTTTATTCCCTCGTACGTCTTCATGCGAGGCTCTCGTAGCTGCCTTGAATGTAGCGCGGTTACCGCAGCTCGTTACTCGGCCTGACGAACGGCATCGCGGAAGCAATCCATCGAACCCAGCCGAGAACAAACCCGAGAGGGACGACGTTTCGTTTTCCCGCGACTCGATGCCCGGGTACACCCCTCCTGTACGACGATAAATTAATACAACGTCGATCCCGTGATTAGGAATAATATTCTCGCGTTCCCTACCATCGTTTCTACTTTATGCGCGCTCCTCGAGACTCGAGTTCCTGCTTAAGGCTGATTCACACTGATCGCCAGGCAACCAACGTGTCTCATGTTGAAATTTAAACAAAATTCACTGCGCTATCCGCACTGTCTCATCGTAAAACTACCCCCACTCTCGACCAGAGATCGATGCAAAAATCATTGAACGCGAACGACCAACGATTGATCGGGTAGTATGTATCAGCCTTAATTATGCTGAAAACGATCTCGGCTTAATCGTACTCGTAGAATATTCAGAGTGGATCGTTGAAAAAAAACGAACGAAACGAGAGGCACGAGGGCTTGTTGGTGCGCAAACACGAATGCCGCCTTCGCGATTAATTGCTTTAATGCCTCCGACGACGATTGCGCTTTTTCTCGATCGATTCATCTAATTGCGCCGCCGATCGGAATCGTTTATAGCCCCCACCGCCATCGAGCGTTCGACGTCTCTCCATTATGCATTCTTCTGCGCGACACTCGCGAGCGCACGGGCATGCGTGTACCGTACACGTGTCTGCACGTGTTTTTGCATAGCCGCGCGTTGATATCTCCGACAGATCGACGCTGGTTCGAGCGCCATAACGATCGGGAAAGAACTGCGGCGTATCATTAGCCAGCAGCTCGTACGAGTGAACGACATAAATGATTTTTTTATCGATTTATGCGCATTACGTTCGGTACGAGCAATGCTTTAACGCTGGTTGGCGTCAAACTTTGTACAATCGTGCGTTCGAGTCTCCGAAAAATGTGTTATTCCGTTAGCAAACCATAAGAATCTTAACGCGTTGCGTGATAGAGTATCGACCGTAGAATTACAAATATCGAGGGGGCAAAATAAAAAGAAATTTCAAGATAGGAACGTAAGTGCCAGATTGCGCCAAGAAATTACGAAAGGGGACATTACGAGACGAGGCGTTCGTAATTACGAAATTGGCACGAACACGCTTCCGAATTTCACTTCGCGCGCTTGTTGCTCGATTTCCTCCTTGCTCCCTAACGCGTGTTTTTTTCCACGCTGGTGAAGTTTCCGCGTTCGCTGCTAGAGATCTGCGGCGATTCCCTTAATGGTGTTATCAAACAGTGTCGTGTCGCTATCTCCCTGCTCCGTAGCGAATGTTACACACCCTGATACACGTGTCGGAGCGCGTCGGGGACTTAATCCGTAATTACAAGTCTCACCGGGTCTGCGTCTAACGCAGTGGTGCACAATGTCCGTCCCCCGGGCCACTCGGGCCCTTTCATCGACCTCGACCGGTTTTCAAAGTTAACCAAAATCCATGTTCGAAGATCCTTACAAAATATATTAAGCTATATTATACGATGTGTTCGGCCAGACAAACTCTATTCGTTTCCCAAACTTGCTGAGAAATTATCTGAACCACAAACTGTCCTTCAAGAATATTTCTCGTCAATGTTATACCGAGATGAAAGTAAAAGAGATCGATGGAAATTACAGTTCATTATTTTAAAAAATCGGACTAATATGGCGTCCGTTGAGAATCCCTGATCTAACGTAACGTGTTTGCAAGCAATCGCGGAAGTCGTCGATCGGCAGTCGGCCGCTTTATCCGAAATTGCCTCGCGCAGCGAAACCAGCACCGCAGGAAAATAACGAAAAGGAAAAGGAGCAAATCGCGCGCCGGCCAGTGGCTCGAATATGAGTATTTTAATTACTCCTGCGTATATCGGTTTTCGTCTGGCGTACGAGATTGGCGGACGAGCTCTGCTTTTATTTTCAACGGTCGCGGGAAGCGGAGCAGAACGGAACGCGTGCTTTCTAATTCGTAATGTCAACCGCGAATGCTAATGACTTACTCGCGCGGATAAACCGCTGCCCCCGTCGGACGATTAATGTTTCCGGAAGCGGTCGATTACGCGTGACAACCGAATCAAGCGTGGGAGTGATGGATCGCTAATGGCACCGCGTGGAAGTTCTTCGACGGCCGCGAAAATTACGCCGGAGACGATTCGATTCGGCTCCGTACGATGTTTTCGCTTATTAAACCCGCTGCACGGTTTCAAATTTCTTTGAGAGGCAACCCACTTCGTTCGAATAAAAATTAGTTAGCCGTAAATTAGTTTCTGACCACACGGTATAGTGACTCTCCAGTAGGAAACCATTACGCAAACCCCTCGCGAATCATCTGAACAAACTGTCCACACTGCCATAAACTTGACATTAGCTTCACGTACATTACGTGGATCGCAAGTAGCTCGCGCAGCCAGGTGTTTTGTTTCCGATTCTAATCGGCACTTCTTGCGGGCGCGCGTGATAATAATTAACAGCCGTTCTCGGTTAATTTGCTCTAATTTCCATATTATCGCAACCGAGCACGATCGGTGCTGGTCGTTACATAAATCCCGAATGGAAGTCGCGGTTCGCGATTTCTCGCGGGAAAATCGCCTCGAAATCGATCGTCGCGAGATCTTCGCGCCCCGTCTCGCCGTACGCGCGTCGATTATGTTTACAATTTCGTGGCTGGAAACGCGGCCGGCGAAAGAAGCGTGGCGCGCGTTATACGATTCCAGACGGTTATAAATAAATGTGTCAGTATCCCAAGAGAGATATGCGTTGCTGATTATGTAAAACGCTCGTGTCGTTACCAGGCCGTGTAAGTTCTGTTCCACGAGACCGCGCAGAAAATTATTGCGCGTGGAAGAAGTTATATCTACCTAGATGGGGGGCGCGATAACGCTTAATGGTAGGCGTTGTCCGATTAATTTGTTAGTAGCGATCAAAACATCTTTACGGTGCCTGGGCACGAAATCAACGCGATGGAAAGTGATCGAGGGGGGAACGTCCTCGGGGGAAAGTGCACGCAGTCGACACGATGGTTCTGCACGAGTGGTGGCTATTTAAAAGTGGGTTCAATGTTGCGTTGCGAGCGAAGGTCGAAATCCTGCGCTACAATGCAAAACCGCCATTAACGCGTTCACCGCCGGTCTGAAACGGTAAAATTGTTTACGAGACCAAAACTGTGATTTTAGACAATTTCTTCTGTGAGACTAGATTTTTGTACACCTCCTTCTATTATAAAATTAATGATTTCCAACTTGTGATCGTAAACTGTGTTAGTTATAGGGTTGTTTAGAAGGGTTGAGGTATTTCTTTGAGTATCGTTGATTGGACTAACCTGGTGCAACGCCGTGGGTGGATGATGATCTTGCCTGGGTGTGACCGCGTCCGCGCCGATGCCGGAGTCGGGGCTGGGAAGATCAACGGTCAGGACTTTGCTGCTGCTCGAGGACGAGCGTATCGCGTGTGTCGTTGCGTAAGAGCTTGGCACAACCTCGTACCTCGTGTACGAAGCAGTCGTGGTCGACAACGAGGACGAACTCGACGATGCCAGAGGTGGTAGAGCATCCCCCGTGACGTAGACAGCCGTCGCCTCCTGGTGCAGTCCGCTCTGGTTCCCAGCATTCGCCGCCCCCGTCCCTGAGGTCGACGTGTACGCCGTGGACTGTAGCCGTGGGCTGCACGAGGTGTAGGGGTCGTAGGGACTTCCGTACTGTTGCACCTGGAAATTTACCTGATTTACCACCGTTCGAACTTCGATGATCATTCTATAGGGTATGAGTGTTTGATTGTAAACATAAGCAAATCGTCATGGAACACACTGTACAAATTACTGAAAATTATTAGAAACATTCATGTTCTGTTCGAGCTTGTTTTCGACACCTGATTTCTCGAGGAGTTTATGTCAATAAACTTTAGAAACCCCAAATATCTCAAATAGTTTGTGTTTTATTAAAGATGTGACACTCAATTTGGATAACCCTGTACTATTTTGATAAAATCAAATTCTCATGAGAGAGAAATCTGTTGAACAAAGGGGTCGACAGGTTTGACAGGCTAAATGTGGTAGTGGCTCACCTGCAGTTGATGCTGATGATGATGGTACATCCCCGGTGGCGTGGGACTGTCCGGTTGGGCCTGTTTGTGCCTCTTGCTGGATTGTTGGGCCCCTCGCGAGGAGCTGAGGTCCTCGGGTTCCCTTTTGACGCCGGCGATGCCCGCGCTGGAGGAACCGTCGTGTCTGAGGGACTGCGGGCTAAGCGGAAGCGGAAGGCCACCCTGCAGGCTCTGGCCGGGACTGTGGGACTGTTGGTTGTACTGATGCAGGAAGTGGTGCAGCTCCCCTCCTCCGGCGCCTTCGCCGCCTTCCATGCGATTCGTCGAACCGGAACCGGAGCCAGGCGCCTCCTGCACCAGCAGCTTCTGGCCCATCACACCCCTTCAACAGTCCGTGGAGAATCGACCTTTAGCAGCGGCCCTTTTGTGCCCTTTTGTTACAACGAGGGATCGGGATCGATCGACTATGCTAAGTACGCACGTCGAATCGCCTCGCGAACCAACCATTGCGCCTACTTGCGCGTTCGTTGCCTCTATCTCCTCACGATTCACCAACGTTTTATTCGAACTACGTGCTGGGGGGGTGCTTTGGAAATACAAAATACTCGAGAAGCTAACCGAAATAACTAAAAAATTCGATGTTTCTATGGTTCACTGATGTATTCTCATTCTAGAATAATATGATTTTATGATAGAAAAGTAGCACCTAAAATAGAGCAACATCACATTATAATTTCCAAGCCGCGCGCGAAGTGATACCTCCTGGAGGATTAGTTATGGCAATCTTCCTCGCCATAAGAAGTTCCTGACGTTAAACTGACGAGTCGACTATTACACGTTCTCCCGGCAGCAGCGTATGCAAGTCCGCAGCGACGCGATGCTGCGCGGAAAAAAGAACTTAGCGAGGCGTCCATGTTAATCTGATAAGTTAATTACCGGCATTGTTTTTGGGAAAAATAAGTCTCATCGGCCGCGGATAAAGTAATGATAGGCTTTCACGCGCCGGACGATAGGTTTCTTTCAACCGATTGCATTCCAGCCTCCCTCGAATCCTATGCCCCGTGGGAAGTAATAACGTTAATATCGCATTAGCTAACGAGTGGAACGATTTATTGTAAGGCGCAGCGTTTATGACGAAGCGAAGGCATCGATCGACAGCGCGATTTCTGCGGTACATTTGTCATCTCGAGCCTCCGCGGCGATATCATCGGTCCCGCGTAACATTCAAGAAAACTATAATTAATTCATAGATTTTCAAGGTCCGTCACGGAAAATAAATGCTTAATGTGTCTCATCAATAACGTTATGGCGCGCGCGTACCGTGTTTCGCAACGTCGCTTTTTCCAACGAGCGTAAAAAAAAAAGAAATAAAAAAATCGAGATAAAGACACCCGTGGATAAATATCAATGTTCTCCAATCATTACTAAATATAAACGATAAGCCTCCATTCGCATACCTACGTCGTCGTTAATTAATTATGCGTCGATTTGCCGTCCGACCGCGGGCAATGTAATTAATAAATCGAGATTGACCGACGCGGGGAAACAACTGTGAGGCTTTGTTTGCTAACAAGGTATCATCCAGTGAGGATAGGTTAGGTCTGGGTTAGGTTGGAGCAATTTCAAAATCATTCAAATCAGTTAAGTGCAATTTGAGTAGGCAGAATTTTGGGTATATCTCTTTAAATTAAATTCTTTAAATTTTGCAAATAATTTGTGATCGTTTGCGGGTTCTAACCGAAAGAAGGAAAAGAAAGATCGACGTTTGAACCGCGCGGGCAGATTTTGGGGCGCTGTTGGCCCCGGAATCTATCGTCCTACATCACGGATTAGCATCGCATTACCACGCGGCGTGCATTAAAGCAACGCGGAACGAATACCGCGCGTCTGGTCGCAACGACTCCCGGGGATCTATTTCACGTAAGCCGAATTCATGAGGCCGTGGCCTCCGGTTATGACGGTCTACAGTGCAGCTTCCCGCCCGTGGAAAGTACAACCCGAGTTCACCGGTCGTTTTTCCTATCCGCACCTCTTCAAGCACAAGTGTGCCGAGGGCGACGACGTGTCACGGTATACACCCGTCTCTCTCCGTTTCTGTATCTTTCTACGGCGCTTCTCTCGCGTCACCCTTTTTTTCCACGGAGCGGACGAGAACCGCGGCAGACAGAAAACACCGCCTCGAGCGAGAAGGAAGAAGAAGAAGAGACCCGGGGAGAGGGTTCAGACGAGTGAGATCAGGTATCAAGTGTAAAAAAAGAGCCATTGTACGGGAGCATCTGACCGTAGGGTAGGTACCACAGTGGCGATGTTCACCGGGCAGAAAGAGAACGAGAGAGACGACCTAGGATCGTCTGGCGTGAGAGGAGGAGGGAAAAGGACCGGTGAACCTGGCGGAGGTTGCCACGACACGCCGGGCAAGGACGAGAGCAGGGAAGAATGGAAAGAAAAGGAACGAGGAGTGAAAAAGAACGAGCAACGCGCGCGAGAGAGAAAGATCGCATGCACCGAGAGCGTTGGCAGTTTATAAGGGTCCCCCGTATTGTGGATACGTATTATCATGCTAAATATAACATGTTAACTACTTCGCATAATGCCGCCTCGCGATCCTCTCGATTCTTCCCTGTACGACCGTTCGACGAATCGCGTTTCCGCGCCCAGAAAATTTTATTGCCGCCCGTTCGGCAGATGCATCGTCGCCTCGAACGATATCCGCGGGTTCCCAGACCCGGGAACACCGTCAAAAGTGTTCATTTCGCAGTGAATACATTTTCGATTCGTTCGTTTTCAAATAGTCCCTCCATAACGTTCGCGGAGTCATCGACAGCGGAGGCGATTAAACTTTCACATAGGAAACTAACCAAACTTCCTCGAAATCAAGAAGTCCCTCGTTAATATTCGCTACTTCTTCCCTCGATAAAGTTCGCGAAGTCGTTCCTCCAGATCGTGAAAAAATGAGGTTTGATCAGCAGATCCTAAGTTATCCAAGTTGCGAATAATTGAATCATTACCACAGTATCACGAATACTATTTTCTGTCAGTTTTGCAATTAGTGTCCGTCGTTAGACACTCGCAAGCGTAGAGCGTTGAATATAATCAACGATTCCGCGGCTACGTAACTTCCATTAATCACTTCATTACAGGAATCGCGCTCGACCGGACGCGAATTCAAGGAAGAAAATTGCGCATCCGAGCGACAAAAATTAACAAGCGAAGAATGTCAATATCGCCCGGTCTTCCAGCCTTTAGAAAACTAACGACGTTTTCTATATAAATTCAGACGGGTTACGACGTTTCAGTTTCCTCCTTTCTATTTTAATAATGCATAAAAACTTCGTTTGCCGTAAAATCACGACGGCTGTAATCAAGGACTAGACGATATACAATAAGAGCCACGATCCGTTATAATGGTACTAATAATTGCATTAAAACGCGACAATTCCTGTTAGGAATTCTCCGCGACGGCTAATATTTTCCCGCAAAACAATAATGCCGCTACTTTTCCCGTTTACGCGGAGTGCCTTCAACAATTATGGAAGGTGTATCATAAATTAAACGACCGGTCGCATAATGGCCGACGTCACCCGTTCGCGGAAGTCCTGCGCGTCGGAAAAGTATTGGGGAGTTTTCTGACGCTGGACGGTTCGAATGCACGTCGAAGAAAAGAATTATTTCTCTTGGGAATAAATTGCATTCGATGCATCCTATTAAAAAGGAATTAATCTTGAGTTTGATCGCGGGATCCATTCATGCAATGGACGTGCAGTCGAATGGATTATTAATTTATTATCAACGTAAACGATAGCAAAGCCGTTCTTATATTTTGAACTACGTAAAAGTATATTTTTAACCTTCTTTCGTAAGATTTGAAATTTATCAATACCTGCATCCGACGGTAGTTTAAACACTCAAGTTCATTGAAACGAATCTAAGATATCGTATCCTTTGGGGGGATATTCAACGCCTCCTTGCTCGGATACGCCATTGTTAATAGAGTCGTAAATAATGCACATGGGCACAGAAAGGAAGTTCAGGTTTCCCTACCTATCTACGGTACTTATTGTTTATGGTTCCGATGGTGAAACATTCGAGCAAAGGAAGCTCGAATAAAGAAGGCTCTACTGTACTGTTTTTCTCATCGACAATGAGTTCAAAACTCTAGAGAAAATAAACTTTTATTGCTATCTGATTGCCAACGAATATCTATAAAATAAAATTATAGGGTTCTGAGGAATATACATATATTGTAGCAATTGATCCCGGTCTACCCTATTGTTTACATAAGATTTAGTCCATTTGTGCCACCCGGTTTGGAAGACGTTGCACCGTACAGCGTACCGCGAACGGATTCATCACGAATTCAGGAATGCCTGAACCGTTTCTCTTACAAACCAGCAAATTATCCCGCGTAACGTTACATGATCGTTTTTGCCGCGTCGTCGTGGCCACGCAACGTCGGTGTACGCGCAAAACAGGTAATTACGCGCTTACGGTGCAGCATTATCGACGACAAGACAGACGCACCTCGCTAGCCTCGAGGTCGTCGGGTCAGCAAAGGGTCACGACGAGCTCACGGATTCGAGCGTACGTTTGCACGAGTCGTTCGAGGAAAAGAGGAACCGACGACGCGCTATCAGTCGGGGAAACAGATACTGTGCAGAGCTGGAAAGATGACGAGTGAAAGAAATCGGTGCAAATTGGTCGTCGCTTGGTACTGGTCTACTAAGCGTAGATCTACTTCTATGTTAGGAAAGATTCGAACAGTGGTCACTGGAAGTGTAACAAAAGTGGTAGGGTCAGTTGCCCTAATATGTAAATGTGCAATATTATTGAAGCACTTACATCAGCAGAAATGGGAAGTTATTACAGTAATTTGTATGAATGCTAGTGGAATTTATCTACCTCCAATGATAATATTTCCTCGTAAAAACATGAAAAATGTTGCTTTTCATGAAACCATATTCTGGTGAGGGAGCTTAGGACTCGTGAGGGGCTTGAGCAAATCTCGAGTGAGATGGAGGTTCTATTTTAAATGGAGTAGCAAGATTCTGATTATTGGTCCAAGTCGCTCTGAGAGTATAAGAGAATCTCGACTAAAATTTGCAAACCAATAACAAACCAATAAGAAAAAGCCATCACAAACGTGCCCAATCTGAGGGCTATGAGGTCGCTATTGCCTGGCGATCACGGGGGTCACGTGGCGCGGGGCATTCGAGCTTGCGGTACCGGGCAGGACCCGGTTCGGAACCGGAATCGGCGTTCCTCAAACCGGAAATCGACGGGCGGAAGAGTGTGCGTGCGCGCGGGACCTGCCACGGACTCGAAAGACAGGTCCGGACCGAGTGGCGCTCTACCAGCTCCGGCCCCGGGTCACGCGTTTGATTA